TGAGCTTACAAAGTATATCAATATCAAATATTGACCAATATGTGACCCTGCACCACAAAACCTGTCAAAAGTGTACATTTTTGGATTTAATTGTTCATTTCTACTGTTTTTGCATTTAAATTACATGTACAGTCCTCTCACACTATAATATATCTAGTTAAAAAAATCTTTAGCAGATCTTCAAAACAATTAGCATTTCCACACTGTTCAATATAATGATCATGGATGCCTTAATACCCTTCTAACATTTTAAAGTTTATAGATTTCAGTTTTGGTGATTTATTTTTCACTTCACTTCCACTTTCACTTTATTTAGGCATCATAAAAATAAAAGTGATAACAATATATTTATTGGTTATGAGTGGGGCCACACAGAATCTGTGGATTTTCTTTGCTTTTTCTGCACAAAATTTTGTAGATAATCTGCAGATTTATGCGGAATGATTTTGAGAGTATTGTGCTTAAAAACTTAATGCATGAAATAATTAATAATTAACTGTTATTTAATGTTTACAATGCAAATTCAATTAGATCCACTTATACATTGGCAAACAAAGCAAGTCTTTCATATAATATATCTCCTAAAAGACAGAAAATATTACTTTACAAATCGTATTGTAAATAAATCATATATACATTTTCATATTAGTTAATAATATTACTGAAATTGATTTAAAAAGCGAAAAAAATTAAATTTACACACATTTACACAAGTTAATAAATAGACTCAATGATAGGCTAAGCTATGGGCGTGCGCAGATTCCGAGCGGGCCTGGTTATGAGTAGGGTCAGACAAAGTCTGCAGACATTGTTTACTATTTTTGCTTAGAATTAATTAAATAATTTAAAACAATTAATTAAAAATCTGGGGATTTATGCGAAATGATTTTGAGAACCTAATATATGAAATAAAAAAATTAAATATTTTTTCACTTTTATTTAATGTTTACAATGCAAATCTAATTAGATCCACTTTTTTGGTAATTAAGGCAAGTCTCTCATATTGACCTTATTCTTCAATGCGATTGTTTTAGAACTTCCAATTAAGTCACCTTTGGGAGAAATGACTAGGAATAATAAACTGAATCAAACAAACAAAGCAGAATCATATGATACGAAAATGCAACATCAAGCTGCATAACAAGCTGTTTTTACAGTTTAAAAGTGAATGAGATCGGAAGTCTCGAGCCACAAAGATTCAAATGGCTGCGCCCGCACGTACGGAAAGAAGAAGGTGAATAATATGTCTACTAAAAGACAGAAAATCTTACTTTACAAACTGTATTGTTCATAAATCATATGACAATTTTCATATAGTCAGCAATATTGCTGAAATTAACGAGTCATAATTTGGCTGAATAATTATTGGCTGATCAACCAGATTTACCAGTGCATTTCTGGTTACTTTTGGTGTTTGATAAACATATGATTCATTTGAGTGGAGTAAAATTTGAATGAGGACCATTTCATCTGCAGCCAATAAATCCATCTAGAAAAATTCTGACCTTTGACTAATTGCCTTAAGCTTATAAGAGAGGTATTCAAAAGAACAAAACCTAGTATCCAGTTACGTCTAGAGGGGCAGAGGGCAGCGAAGCTGCAATTTGGGACATTCTTACCCCCTGGGAAAACGAATACGGCCCTGAGAGTGGTTTTGGTTTGCATAGACATCGATGCTTTCTCTTGAACTTGACAGAGTTCATGACAGAGAGACCAGTATCACAATGGCTTTGCCCTGAGACCATTGGCAAAGAAGACAGGCCTGATATTAATTACACCTTCTCCTCATTTTTTTCCTCCATTCCTTCATCTCTCTTTTTGCCCCCTTGCATTACTTAGCAGTCTAATCTCTCTTTTATGGCCTTGGACGTTTGGGAACTGCCAGCGATACCCCTTTTGCAACCCAAACCCTTCTTGGCCTCTTTGAACCCAGCGCATGGCCTGAGGGATTAGATGACTTATTGTAAATGGGAAAGCTCTACGCAGTCCAGAATACAACACACGTTTCAGGGACGTTTGATGCAGTAGATGGGAGCACTGTTTAGAAAAAAAACTGTGGGGGCTTTTCCAGGCAGCTCAAAATCTCCATGTCTTTATGCCACTAAACACAAGCGATATTATTTGAAGAAATGCAAAAAACTAATATTTACTGGCAAGATGAGATCATATTTGGTCACCTCTTTGCCTGGCAGAGAAGATAACATCAGAACTGATTCTCTGTTTTCTTTACCCACAGCCATTAAGACCAAGATCCAAGAGGTCAAGCGGGAGAACATGGATCGCAAGGTGACCCTTCAGAAAAAGAAAAGAACCATAAAGATGGGCACTTTGAAAAAGAAGGACCTTAAGAAACTGACTCTGTACCTGAAGAACGGGGCGGATTGCCCCTGCACACAGCTGGACAATACCCGAAACACATACCTTATCATGGGACGCAAGGTGGACAAACAGTACCTTCTCACCGGGATTCACAAGTGGGACAAATCCAACAGAGAGTTCAAAAAGACCATGAAAAAACTCAAAAGCCACAAGTGCCCTGCCTATGAGAATGTCTTCAAGTAAACATTCTCAAAGCTCCCACTTACTTTATGAACTTGCACATCCAGGCAACCCCCCAAAAATTGTTTTATTTTTCATATATATATTATATAATTTTTTCATCTATTTTATAAATCAACCACACGCGAGGTGTTTAGTCTTGGATTTGTGCCATTTAAGACTGAAAAGATAACGAATAAGGCCGTAGACAAACTCTCAAACAAAACCAACTGATCACTTTTGTATATATCCAAATAACTGTTGATAATATCTTGTGAAAGAAATCTGAATTCACCTGCAATTGATTGTTGACTTTTCTTTTTAGTTTTTCTATCAAAATAATAAAACACTTAAACAAGACAAATCTCCAACCTATAGTTACACCTGCTAATAAAGGGATAGTTCACACAAAAATGGAAATGCACAGATTTACTCACCCGCAAAAATTTGAGCTTCTTTATTTTGTTGAACACAAAATAATATAATTTGAAGAAAGCTGAAAACATGTAACTATTGACTTTCACAATAAGACAAACAAACACTATAGAAGCCAATGCTTCTAGATTTCCAGTTTTCTTGAAAATATCTTATTCTGTGTTCAACAAAACAAAAAGTCAAACAGGTTTAAAACTAGCAGAGTTTTCATTTTTTTGTGTGAGCTCTCTCTTTAACATGTGTTTTGGTTGATTTGGATTACAAGTAGTTAAAATTGTTTTGGAAAAATAATCTTGTAAAAGGCAAAAAAAAAGACAGCAGAAAACAAAACAAAAGACAGAAGCTTTATACAGTATACCTCTGAATACATTCAGAAGTGGATTAGCTGTGAATCTTAGACCTTGTTTACACCTATATTCAGCGTCATCCACTTGAAATCAAATCAACAGAAATGCATCTTAAAGGAACACTCCACTTTTTGAGGGAAAATAATATGGCATCTAGAGCTAAATGGTTGATTGTTACCATTTTTACTGGCATTGCTTATTCAGCCATCATATGGCAGCAAAGTTCCTTGATCGTTACACCAGAAAGAGTATTTTCCATCCGTCTTTGTAGATGATGTAGCTACAGAAGTATCAAGCATTTAATCAAAAATATCTTTCAAAAATCATTCATTTATTCAATTTCCTTCAACTTAGTCCCTTTATTCATCAGGGGTCGCTACAGCGGAATAAACCACCAACTTCACCAGCATATATTTTACACAACGGATGTTTTAATAGCTGCAAACCAGTACCGGAAAACACCCATACACACTCAGACACACTCGTACACTATGGCCAATTTAGTTTGTTCAATTCACCGCATGTCTTTGGAATGTTGGGAAAATCGGAGCACCCGGAGGAAACTTACACAAACACAAGGAGAACATGCAAACTCCACAACAAAATGCCAGCCGAGACTCGAACAAGCGATCTTGCTGTGCTAACCACTGAGCCACTGTGCCACCTTATCAAAACTCAAAAAATGTTTACATTTATGAGCAAGATGCTAGTGGTTCAATCCAATTTAATGATCTATTCTAAGCTTAAAGGGCTCAACTGTTTAACTACACTGTAAAAACAAAATCGTAATTTTACGGTTTATTTCTAGCAGCTGGGATGCTGAAAAAAAGAAAAAACAGCCGTTACATTTCAGAAATCTACTGTAATATAACAGAGGTTGAATTACAGAAATTTACCAGAAATGTAAATGTATGGAAGTTTCTGTAATTTAATGCCCGTTATTTTATGGTAAATTTCCGTAATTTAACACCTGTTATTTTATTATTCTTATTTTTTATTCCGGCACCCCAGCTGCTGGAAATAAACCGTAAAATTACAGATTATTTTCACAATGTAGGTGATGTAAAATTAGCTTATATCAAAAATTGGAATGCTCTTTTAATAGCAGGTGTAAAATGGACCTAAGATGTTCTCAAGTTGTATACACACTGAAAGTATACACCATATAAGCCATTACTTTAGGCATATTAACTCTATTATAAGTTGCTACAGTAGTACCCATATTTAATAGATAGAATTATTTTGCATTGGTCATAGTAATGTCTGTGCGCTGTACTGTGACCATTGAGCAATCAGTTGTCAAAGTTGTTTACGCTGGAAAGGAATAAGAGGTCTGCTTTTCGTACATATGGATAAGATATATATGCATTACATTCATTGCACTGCTAAAGCCATTTATACAGCCATCTAAATTGGCCAGTTTGGGTTGATAATGGGATCTGTTTTTTAAAAGTAGAATTCTGTATACATCGGCCTATACTATATTATCTACTGTAGAACAAACTGTTATCTGACTAGTAAACGGATTATAAAAGAACAGTACTCGATAGCATATCACATAACATCCACAAAACAGATAATGTTACATTTTTTTCCATGTAATCCTACAGCTTGCTACTGATGTTAGTGCATAGTGATGTTAGCGAAGCAGGTGAAATATGATTTTATTAATCTTGGCATTTTAGCCTACGGCTTTGTTGAAATTGCATGTCACCAATCATTTAAGAAAGCGTAGTGTGCACTGCATAAGGTGTCTCTTAATTTCTTTTTAAAATTATTATCTTGTGGTGTAGCACTATTAGTTTCATTGCTCCTCAGTTCTCGTTTTTTATGTTGGCAATCATTTTGTACATAAAATTCTACCACAAATATAAAATAAAGACTATAAAAATCTTCATGTCTTTTGCGCGCAGTGTTTTTTTCAGTCTTTATTAAACTAGTTATTCATTGGTTCAGTATGAAACATTTATGTTGTGGTCATTTACAGTGTCTTATAAAGATAACTATTGTGTTTCATTTGAACAAAACGTCCTGACAAGTGTAGTACACCATTACAAAAAACAAGTATTATTTCACATAATAGGACAATGCACTCAAGTTACTTACAAGAGGGAGAAAGTGTGGAGAATGTGGCAAAATAATCCGGCCTTAAAAGAGCCAATTGCTAATGAGCACAACAGTTCTGGAAGTTACAATGTTGCAGCAAGCAAATAATTATATGCACTATTATATATAAATTGCGTGTGCATTTGTTACCATGTGCTGTGTTTTATAGTTACATATACAGTGCATTCAGAAAGTATTCATTGTATTCCAAAATGGATTAAATTCATTGATTTCCTCCAAATTCTACACACAATACCCTATAATAACAATGTGAAAAAAGATATTTTTAAATCGTTGCAAATTTATAAAAATAAAAAATCTGAAAAATCACATGTACATAAGTAGTCTTTGCCTTTCCCATTGATTACAGCCACATTTTAAATATGATGCCACAAGCTTGGCACACCTGTCTTTGGGAACTTTTGCCCATTCCTCTTTGCAGTACATTTCAAGCTGTATCAGGTTAGATGGGAAGCGACAGTGTACAGCAATTTTCAGATCTCTCTAGAGATGATTCATAGGATTTAGGTCTGGGCTCTGGCTGGGCCACTCAAGGACATTCACCGACAGGGGCGGACTGGCCATCTGGCAATTCTGGCAAATGCCAGAAGGGCCGGACCATTTTTTAAATGTGGGCTGGTCAGGTTTTTTTTTTTTGGTTTTTTTTTAATATGTATTGTTTTTACATGCTTTTACAAGCTTTTATCTCTTACAAGATGTGATATTATGATGATGATGATAATAATAATAATAATAAATGTTGCGCATTTGGTCCAATCGGCAACGGCCGGCTGGTTTTGAGAGGGGCCGACCCAATCTGAGGTGATGGCGACGTAATCAAAATCTAGCAAGAATGTAAAACAAACAATAAGTGCCACACAAGCCAATTGTCAGAGATGTACCGTTAAAAGAATAGGCGGTGCCGAAAAGCTCAGAGAAAGAGCGCAAAAGGGCTCTAAAATCAGACGCTGCCAAATGCATAAAGTTACTGAAATAATCTCGAACATTCGGCTGCTGCGTCGGAGGACAGTAGCGCGGCAGAGGAGGTAAGAAAACAGAAAATGTACTTCTAAGTCATTATACTAAAACATACCAAGTAAATGTCTCGCCATTCACGCTACTTCTGACAGTTTGTGACAGTGCATTAAACACAGTGACTACATTGTGTTTAACAGTTGTCAGCTTAGCGTAGAACTCCCGCACGTTTTAATATGTCATTATCAGCAGATAACGTGATTTCTGGTATACAGACTGCTGTATGCTACTAGGAATATATTCTAACATGCAAAAGAACCTAAAGCTATAGCCACAGTACTGTATGCATTTGTTGTGAACTCTGAATACATAGCTAGTCTTTAAACTAATACATTAAATACATGCATAGGTTACAGTACATAATCATCTCATTGTCAGGGAAAATGAGATTCAATCTATCCAGAATTATTTTGACTATTCTTTCCACAAAGTTTCCAACAAGTACTGAGTATGCAAGTGCTAGCAATCACTTTGGGTATCCTTGTGGGTTGGTGTGGTCTACAACAAATTAAAATAAACAAATTAAGGAATCAGAAAAAAAATAATACAAATAAAGATACTAAAACACTTCCATGTACAATCAACAAGGGGTACGAGATCACTGATTGCTAGAAACACTTCAAAATAGAAGCTCATGTGAGCCATTTTAACACTGTGGCTCTATTTAAAAATAAATTAACCCTTATGATAGGAGCCTGTTAATGTGTATCACACACACCTTTACACACAAATGGAGGTGCAGCACTAGCAACACTTCAGCATGATTTCACAAATAACTATATATCATGAAGGATTAAAAATGTACAAATCTGCTGGTACACACAAATATTGCTGCTTTTTTCATTTTTGCTTTATATTCTATTCATTTCGGTGCTACTGTTATTACTTAATTGTATTAATTTGTATACAGGGTTTCCGCAGGGTCTTAAAAAGTCTTAAATTTAAAAAAACAAAATATTAGGCCTTAAATAGTCTTAACTTCACTGAAATATTGTGTTGTAGGTCTTAAATCATTTTAAACTGTTCTTAATTTCCCTCTATCCAAGTAAAGCTACCCAATCTGGCCAAATCAGTGTTTTTATTGCAAAGAGATTCAGTTTATAACAGCTGTTACATTATTTTCAGCAAATTCTCCAAATTAAATTCCCTAATCATGGAAGGAAAAATAAAGCAACACACCCCTTTAAATGATCTTCCATTAATACAAAAAACTATTTACCAAAGTTACCAGACCATTTGAAAAAATCCTTTGTGTTTAGCCCTGTATAAGTCTAAAATTTTATTCATAATTGTCTTAAAAGGGTCTTGAAATGTTTTAAATTTGATTTGAATAAACCTGCAGAAACCCTGGTATTCAAATGTTCAGAGCAGTCAGTAAGAAAACATTTTGCTGCAATCTTTACATCCTATACTGTGTTTATTAACTAGGGTGTTGCCAATAGCAGTGCTGTTAGAAAATATGCTACGGTAGGCCTAGCAGAGACAGGGAGGAGTTTGGTAGAGGTAGAAAAAAAACATTACACACTGTACTTTGGGTTAGTAGTTAATTCTACAGTAGAGGTGAACACATGAA